GAAACAAAAAGAAATAAAACAAGATAAAAATTAAAACCAGGATGTAATCTTCTTAGTTTATTTCAAGTCAATTCTCATGTTATATATATAACAAATTTAAATTACACTGATTTATATACTATTTACATATATAGATTACAAAGAGGAACCAATAAAAATGTAAATCTAAAATATGCTGGTACATAATGATTATTATATAAATTTAATATGGAATTCGTGTAAAATCTATGTATTGCTAATTAAATTGGAATAACATTAGATAAAATAAAGTACCAATAAGATTTAAAAATATAAAATAATATGATAATAGTATGAATTGATTGATAAATTAAATGATAATGAAATCTAAACTAAAATAATGTGATAATAATATAAAATAATTGGATAAAAATATGAATTATTACTATTGGATAAAAATATAAAAAGAAAAAGTTTAAATGAATATTACTGCACTAAAAATATAATGTGATAAAGTTGATGAAAGGTAAAATAGTAACAATATTAACTATTTGAAAAGATTTTGTATATAATTATAGTCTTATTAGAAATCTTTTTATCAAATCTAAAAGATGAAATTTTATTTATATTCAAGTCTAGAATTAATAATGATTAATTAGAACTATATAATTAATTAATTAGTCTCTTTGATATCTTATAATAAGCATAAATATCTGAGAATTAGTTTATTTTTTAAATTTTAAATTTTTATTTTATTTTATTTTATATTTTATATATTTTTTTATTTTACAAAATAAAATATTAACAGTGAAAATCCTGTTATAAGTCAGATTTATTGATTAAAAGTATTATATTCTTATTGAATAATATTTTATTACATTTTATTGAATTATTATATTTTTTATTTGAATTTCAATTAGAAATTCAATCCAATTTGTATTTTTATTAAAAATTGAAATTCTATCAATTATTTAAGAAATTTGTTGTTTGTTTCTTTTCTTTTCAAATTTATTTTATTGGCTAGAATAGCTAGTATTTTTATATAATCTCTCATTTTAATTGCAAAGTTATTTTTCTTGTATTTGATTTCTCATTTTAATTGCAAAGTTATAATTATATAATTGAATTAATAAATAAACAATTAATATCTTAATCTATAAACTATATTTGAAAATATAAAACATATTTATCACCAAATGAACATATATTATCTATCTTTAGATATAATATTCTCTCTTCCATTTGAAGTTATTTTATATACATCTCTCCCATTTGACGTGTTATTCATGTGCTTTCCCATGACAAAACTAAAAGTCATATAAAATGGTAATGGTAATCATTTTAAATACTAAACAAAAAATCATTTCTATTAGTGAACACGCTAGTTGGATTGTTCCACGGTTCGGAAAATATTAGGCACGTGACTATATTGATAATCCGTTTGGTAACAAACGTATTATTACCAGAATCACAGATCGTGTATAAAAGTGGTTCACTATAAAGAGCGTGACTGTGTACAATGTCATTTACTTCTTGCTTGAAAACCAAATTACCCACCTTTGCTCGACGAGCAGGCATTTATGTTGGCAGCAAGCCGAGGTATTTGCTTTGTTTTTAGTTTTTATTATCATAAGCAAATAAAGAAATTAATACGCTTTTGAAGATTTTTCACTCAGACTGCACTTCTTCGCAATGCCTCTGTTCCTGTCTATCCTTCCTTACACACTCTTACAGAAGAAGAAATTACTATACGTGACACAGGTAAATACTTCAAATGCACATGTATTTTCTTAATGTACATAACTTTTATTATAAAACGTAACTTTCGTATTTTTTAGTTGCAAAGTTTGCTCAGGAAAAAATACTGCCAAAAGTTCAAGAAATGGATGAAAAAGAATCATTAGATAAAGAGATCCTTAATGGTTTATTTGATCAAGGGGTATTTAATTAAGCTTCAGTGAAACAGCGAGATTTTATAATAATAAATTTACTATTGTCTTTGAAATAAAAATTTTTTTGAAAAAGTTTATGGGAGTAGAAACCCAAGGAAAATATGGCGGTGCAGAGGGTTCTTTTATGTCGGTTATTCTTGTGGTAGAAGGTAATAAAAGTTCCTTTTACGATAAATGTCAAAAATTCTCGCGTTCTAAAGTGTCATTGAATTGCTGCGTTCAATTTGTGAATAGGCTCGCGGGATATTTTTGCATGAATCTGAAGAATATTTATATTTTAACATTTTGAAAAATATTAATCGCAGAACTTGCCAAGGTTGATCCTTCGATTAGCGTAATCTGCGATGTTCAAGTAATTATTATTATTATTATTCTTCTTCTTATTAGCAAATAATGAATTTCACTTGCTGATTTTACGATTAGAATACCCTCGTAAATACTTTATTCCTTAAATATGGCAATGACGCCATAAAAGAGAAATATTTACCACAACTTGCAGCCAACAAGGTAATAATAAGACTATTTACTTTGATTTATTTTTATATTATTTTCTAAATCTTATATGTTTTAAGGTTGGCTGCTTCTGTTTGTCCGAAGTAGGTGCCGGTAGTGACGCGTTTTCATTAAAAACACGTGCTGAAAAGAAAGATGGTTATTATGAACTAACTGGCTCCAAAATGTGGATAACAAATTCATATGAAGCCGATATTTTTTTGGTTTTTGCTAACATCGGTAAGGATTTTGCAGTATCCAATTTTCTTATCTGATGATCGAATATATAATGTATATTATTTTGTTAGATTTTACGCAAAAGCATAGGGGGATCACTTGCTTTGTCGTTGAAAAAGATTTTGGAGTGCAAGTTGCAAAGAAAGAATCAAAGGTATGCTAAATTCTTCTTTAATGAATCAACTTGATACTTTTTTAAATTATAAGATAATCACACTTTTTTATTATTCGCTCTTGATCAATTTAGCTTGGTATTAGGGCCTCTTCTACGTGCACTCTCAATTTTGACGGAGTGAAGGTACTTATTTATAATTCTTTTACTGCAGCTGCATAAACTTAAGATTTTTAATAATTTATAGGTTCCCGAAGAAAATGTGCTTGGTGAACTTGGCAAAGGTATTTTTGCTTTTCTTATTTTTTGAATTTGCTATTTTATTACAATTCTATCGATAATAAACATACACATTTCATCTTGATCATCAGGATATAAATATGCAATTGAGATTTTGAACGAAGGGCGTATTGGAATTTCTGCTCAGATGATTGGATTGGCTCAGGGTGCATTTGACCACGCGTTGCCTTATACTTTGGAACGGGAACAGTTTGGTCAACACGTGGGTGAATTCCAGGTGAAAGAAATTAATAAAATTTTATAATTGTATATTTCTACATTTCTCTATAATATAAATGTATTAAATTCTTTATATTTAAAATAATAACATAAGGGAATGCAATTTCAATTTGCTCAAAGTATTTTAAAATTTGTACAAATAAATCTCGTTTATTCTATTTCGCTCGAAAAGTTAACAAGTTTTAATACGGATAGTTGCCACTGATATCGAGGCTGCGAGGCTATTGACTTATAACGCCGCAAGATTAAAGCAAGAGGGCAAAAACTTTGTCATGGAGGCTGCGATGGCAAAATTATTTTCTTCGCGAGTTGCAGAAAATGTAAGTTTCGTTTTTTGCAATTAGTTACAATTCCATAAGAAATTTATCTTAACCTTTTTTTTTTGATAGGCTGCATCTAAAGCTATCGAATTTATGGGTGGTGTTGGATTCACAAGAGATTATCCAGGTATTCATTGATTTTTTCAGAGTAAAGATTGAAAATATAATTTATTAATCTTTTTCTTTATAGTTGAAAAATATTACAGAGACGCAAAAATAGGTACTTTCTTGCCTGCTTATTAACTTTCTTGAATTTGATAACTGAATTTTCTTTATTTTCCTAATTTTTATTTTTTAGGCTCAATTTACGAAGGAACATCAAACATCCAATTACAAACAATCGCCAAATTGATCGTGAACAAATATAAATCTTAGAAAAATCGTATATATATATATATATGGACTTAGAGAATAAATAAAGACGAAAAAACTATTTCAAAAATTGTTTATACACCGAATTATCTGTTTCGTCTATAGCAACATAACCAAGCTTATTTTTGAAGAGTTCGAAGGCTGGGATGTCTTCTGGCAGTACTTGAACTCCTATAAGAACTTTGCCTACATCTATGGGACAAATTTAAAAATATAAATAAAAAAATTTTTTCTAAATAAACACGCAATATATTTCTATTACCAGAGCCATGATTCCGATAATGAAACAATGAAATATTCCATCCAGAACGTAATCCAAACAAAAATTTCTGTAGTGCTCCAGGTCTTTCTGGAAATTCTATGTGGAATATAATGAGTGAAAATTTAAAGTTAGGCCATTTTTTTTCTTTAAAAAAAATACCCAAAACCTTACCAAATCTATACAACCGTTCATTTTCAACGCGACTTCTACCCCCAACTAAATATCTTGCATGGCTTTTTGCCATCTCATTATCACTTATATCCTGTCCTTGCATTCCGTTTTTTCGTAGTTCTTCCAGAATCTCTGGAACTTCCTTTTCACGGTTCTGGACCCCAAATGACATATATATACAGGCTTGTTCAGAGTGGTCCGCATATCTATATATTGCAGAAAGATAAGTCGGTATATTCTATCACATCTATTACAAAAGTTGGCAATTTTAAAAAATTTACCTGTATGAGAATTCTGTTATAGGTCGCGGGTGAATGTGATTATAAAGTTGAATGAAACTAAAAAATTTATTAAGCTATATTATTATTTAGTAAAAGATTTCAATCTCAAATTAAAAAAAATATGAAAACAAATAACCTTCCAGGATGTTCTGGAATGATGACCGAAAATAAAACCTCCCGATGTTCTCCGAGCTCTGCACGCTCGGCCACAAATCTCAAGCGATCGAAATTCATATTGGCACCAGATGCAATAGCAACAAGGCAACGTCCCTCCAGATTATTTTCAGCGATGTATTTCTTTGCACCAGCAACTGAGAGTGCTCCAGCCGGCTCAACAATCGAACGAGTATCTGATATAATGTGAAGATTTGAATTTTGAGAAGAAAATTACGAATAATTCATTATCCTTTACCTTCAAAAATATCTTTTATCGCCGCACATATTTCGTCGTTAGTAACTGTTATCATCTCATCCACAACCTCTCGACACAATCGGAATGTTTCCTCTCCTACAATCCGAACAGCAGCACCATCAGCAAACAATCCTACTTCGTTCAGTAAAACACGTTTATCTTCTTTTAACGATATTGTCATTGCGTCTGCGTCGCAGGCTTCCACGCCAATTATCTTTATTTTAGGACATAATCTTTTCACATAGCTTCCAATTCCAGCTATTAGACCTCCTCCACCAACACAAGCGAAAATCGCGTCGATCTCATTATAATTAATTTGACGCAAAATTTCCATTGCTATCGTGCCTTGACCTGCAATTACATACGGGTCATCATACGGGGGAATGTTTGTGAGTTGGTGTAAAGCCTCTAGACGAGCACATTCTTTTTTTGCCTCGTCAAAATCTGCTCCGTGTAATAAAACTTTAGCGCCTAGTCTATGTACATTCTGCCATTTTATAGCAGGTGTTGCTCTGAAATCATAGATAGAAATTCAGTAATGTTTCTAAAAATTGAATAATCAATAACAAGATGCGTACATTGGCATTACAATGGTTGCTGGCAAACCAAGATGTTTTGCTGACAAGGCGACTCCTTGAGCATGGTTTCCTTAAAAGAATCATTAATGTTAACAAAAAAAACAAAAAAACCGGCGACACTCGACGTATGAACATTGTGAGAGCTTTTGGGAAATTCGATCGCTATAAAGAGATATCAATTCAATGCTACATCATTAGGTTATGTCCAAAAGTAATATCGAAAAGCTACATACCAGCTGAACAAGCGATAACCCCATTTTTCCTTTCCTCGTCGGACAAATGCGCAATTTTATTATAAGCTCCTCGTATCTTGAATGAAAACACTTGTTGCAAATCCTCACGTTTGAGGTAAATTTTATTACGTAGTCTATTTGATAAGTTGTTTGCGCGCTGTAGTGGTGTCTCTTTAACAATTTCGTATACGCGTGAGGTTAAAATTAAGCGGAGGTAGTCGGGGTGGTCGGTTATTGAGTTTGAGTGAGAAGTTAGGGGCAAAGTGTCTGATTCAATAAGAGCTTTTACCTTTGGATACGAATTAATTCGCTTCTCAGGATGTTGCTCTTGTGACATTTTCATAAAATTGGGTTATTGAGGAGATATCGATATCGCTCGATAAAAAAATGAATACATGACTCATATTTACTAATATGATTCAAAAACAGTCAGACGACGGGTTGGGATTAAGAGTTAAATCGAGTTCTGACTGTATATGTGTTGATTTAGAATATTGGCCAGAGTTGTTATTTTAATTTTATAATGTGGGCCAAATTCCAAATCAACAGATTCTATTCCAACTTGCAACATATGCGTTTTTGATGACAATGGAAATCGAAGTTTAACTACTTCAATCATTTCATAATGCATCTTTACATTTTCATAATTTTAATGGCAAAGTTCAAGTGTGAATTAATATTAAATAAAGTGTATCAAAAAATAGCAACAAATTTTTGGTTGAAGCGATAGTTTAAAAATCATCTTGTTGTTCGTGGTTGTTTTCCTATGGTAGTAAAAATACCATTTCTTGAACTTTGAGCAATCTGTTTCGCTCTTATATCTTCTTCAGTCCATAACGAATCATGACTATGTTCAAAAGGCTGAGCCATTTGCCTAAGGAATTTTTTCGCGTTAACCAAAGCCATATCAGTTGAAAGATTGGTATTGGCTTCGGTTATGTAATGATTGATCCACTTTGGTAGTTTGGCTCGTTTATCGGCACGACCAAATCTCTGAAAAATCAAGATAATTAGTGCTGTTTTTCATTGTGTAATGAATGATAAAGTTTTTTTTTTTTAATTACCTTATCGGCAAATATCATTAGACCATAATCCGTTTTTCCACGCAAAACCCGTCCTACACATTGAGCTGCATGTCTCATTGCATCAAATGTAAGAAAATCGTTTTCCCTTATACGGTAATTATCGCGTAGAAATTCCAACCGTGCCTTGGAGATTAAATTAAAACATAATTATTTTAAAGTTCTTAAGGAAAGATATTGCAAAACATCAAATAAATATATTCATACTTTGAGAATACGACTTTCGGTATATTGATAAGGCAGGCCAAACATTAGTACTGCTCTTCCATAATTATGATCAAAGTCTATACCTTCGGATACTTTACCCCGTGCGACTGAAAGAAGAATTGCTCCACGACCATTATCGCAAGCCTGAGGATTAAGAGATATGTTATAACAATAACGTATAATTTTGATAATATACAGTCGTACCTCTATACAGTCACACCTTGTATAGTCAATCATACATTTTCCCAGTTCCAGCTATTATGAAGCATAGGAAATTTGACTCCATACAGTCACAACCTCTATAAAGTCACATTCTTCTGCGCCTGAGGGTGTGATTATATGGAGGCACGACTGTAATTATAATGCGTCATACCATTCTGTAGCTTTCTAAAGCTAAGCTTGTTTCGGCTGCATCAGGAGTTTCTACAAATATTAATTTGTGTTTCCATGCTTGATTCAAGATTCCCTAAGAAATGAAAAGATTATATAGATGTGAATTTGAGTGTCTATCAACACATTTAATTTTAAGACCTCACCATCTCATGCCACATTGCTACAATTGATTCCATATAAAGATAGCTCGGGAAGAAAGCAACAATTCCATCTGGGACTATTTTGGCAAATTCTACAAGAATCTGTCCGAAATTGCGAACAACTGCTGGGTCATTTCGAACTTCAAATTTGGAGCTTATTGCAACTTGATCACTACCTCTTGTGATAACCTATGAGCATAATGGTAAATCCAGTTGTTAACTGAACTATTGAGACAAAATTTACAATAATTATAAGTTTCATACCAGAGGCAGAAAGCAAGTTCGTGTAAGCGTCATAGAATAACTTTCTTGAATGACAGCATGGAAAGAAAGAATTTTTGGATACATGTCGAGAGGGGATAATGTTCCTGATGTAATGATAACTGATTTGAAACGCTCAAATACGGGTCTAATTGCAATTGAAGCATCGAGGCACCTGCAAGATTTGATCAAAATAATCCAATCTGACTTATTATCATCCTCAATTCGTAATAAAGTTTTGATTTAAAAATGTTGAATCTTGAAAAAACTAACGCGTGATGAAGGATGGGATTAGGCACTAGGTCCGATTCAAAAGGTTCCAAAATCAACAAGAAACCTATGTAAATGATTGAGATAGATTAATAAATTATCTGAGAAATCAATGATGTTTATTATGCGATTAGATACCTTTATCATATGTCGCTACAAGAGTGGCAAAAGCCGCTATTTTTTGCAAAGCATTATATTCATCGAGATTAGTCAATTCTAACGTTCGTACTAACGATGTTAGGCGCTCACTGCAAAATCTATAACATTTGTCAGAATAGCTTAATTTATTTCAAACTCGCATTTATCATTTGTGGTACCTTAAAGGTTTTTTTTCTATTAATGTAACATCTTTTAAATGCTGAAGAAACGATGCCGGTGTTTCTGCTACCACATTTTGTACTCGCATGCGCGTCTATAAAGAAATGTGCAAGAGTAGTAAAAATAGTAAAATGATTTATTAAGTAAAAAAAAAAGTGTAAAGCGATATATACTTTAATATATTCAACAAAGCGCCGAAGAAAGGCAACAAAATGTTCAGCACGTCTTATAGCACCAGGGACGGCCTCGTTTAACAAGTCTTCCGGCAGAACTATTATTGAATGTTTAGAATAATTCTGGAACATTAATATTATTATTGATATTAAAAATCTACATACCAGGATTGGTCATAAACATATCTTCATCTCTGTTTTGCCTTGCATCCTTTAATCCTATATAATAATAAAATTATTAATAAAACTATTCTTCACCTTGAAAAAATAGCTAAAGATAATTACCATCGACCAGTTTTTTATATTCTGCTTGCAATTTTCGCGCATCAGTCTGCTTTATTCTTAAAAGCAGAATTGCGAGTATTTATATTATATATATATCGTAAAAATAAAACCAATTTTTTTATCAGTGAATCCGTAGATAGACTGACTCACTGGTGAACTACTTCTGTAAGTTCATTGATACTTCTAGCGCTTGAATCTAACATAGGCTTAGTAATATCAATGCTCAAAGACTCTATGCATACATTATCTAGTATTATTTATTTGAAATAAGTTATAATTTAAGATATTAAGGCACAGTTAACACGTAAATAACTGATTACAAAATAAATTACCTATATTGTGAGCCTCATCGAATACTACAATTGCTTCTTTAGATAATTCTTTTGATATCAGATCAGCTACTTTCGGATCTAACAGGTAATGGTAACTATATATTACAACATTTGCAGCCGAAATCTATTAAATTACTTTAGATTTAGCTCTTTTGCAGAATAGTGATTTGGATGACATTATACCTACCAATCGTCTTGCTAAATAATATGGACAATATCCCTCTTCTTGGCATCGTGCTTTAAGCTCTTCGAGTGTGTAAATACCATATGGCAGCAATTTATTTTGATCTGCAGCTTCAAGTGCCTAAAAAGAATGATATAAAAACACAGTTGAGACCTCCCTAAACGCACCCTCGATAAATGCACACTCTCTATAAATGCACGTTTCTATCTGGTCCCTAGGGGTGCACCTAAGGAGAGTTGACTTACATATTTGTTATCAGAAAAGTTGAATGTACCTCATAAAAACTACATAGCTCCACATTTGAAGAACTTTTTGCTTTCTCTCTGACCCATGATGCTGTTATATTTCGACAGCGTGCATCAACAACTTTACCTTTTTTTTCTTTGCTAACCTAAATTTTTCAAAAATTTAATATGGATACTATTAAAATGGAAAATAAAACAAATCGCGAGAAATTACTGAAGGATGTAAACACAGGTTTTTTCTCGAAGTTAATCCAATCCCAAGAAATTTCTCTTTATTGCCATTCTTTTGACGAAAGTCGTATAGATTTTTTAGTTCTGTTAATGCTTTCTCAATTTCTGGTACTGTTCTTGAACAATATATTAGTTTTCTGTTTTCTTTTGCATGATACTAAATTAAATTTGTAATTTATCCAGAGATGTTAATATGCAAGACATTTGTGAATAATCAAGTATAAAAAATAACGAACATAAGACATACCATTTGATAGGCCACAATTAAAGAAAGAAGGGATACGGTTTTTCCTGTCCCTGAAGGCATTTCCAGAAGGCAATGACCCTATATTGTTCAAAAAAGAAGAATCAAGTTCAACAAGAAAAACTCAAGGTTATATTATATAGCAAGAAATTAAGCCAAACTTATATAATACCCCAGCGTCAAGTCCCTTTTTCAAATCAGTCATGTAGGCATATTGCTCAGGATATATTTTGTCATATGGGAAAAGAACAGGAATTTCGTCTATATAAAACCTGTGAAAGCTTAAGCATTAATAATAATTCCTTTAACTCAATAAGAAAAAAATAAAGTACCTCATATTGGAATTAGAATTTGCAATTAAAGTAGATAATATTATGTAGGATTACATAATTTCATCATGCACCACTGTTACCTGATAATCTTTCTTACTGTTCATTAAAATGTCTCTAGCTGAAGAACTCCTCGCTGATCGGGATTTTGCAAGTAGCAATGAGGTGGAGGAACCCGGGTTGTCTGATGAATTAATGCGTGATCTTGAGGATATAGAAGAGCTAGAAGAAGAGATGATGGAGGAAGTCGAAGTTTCCGAAGAAAACCTACCTATACCTGAAATGTCACACATGAAAGATGTCAAAAAAGTGGCAAAGCTAATGAGCTCCAAACAAATGAAGGATGTTTTAACTGTACGTTACTTCCTTTTGCTCAGTCTGCTTGTTTGACTTCTCGTAGTAATATACTTGAATTATACAAAATTAGAAAATCGATGAACTTCGTAACCAAGAGCGTTCTCAAACTCAGATAATGGGCCCTGTAGAAGAAGATCCAGAATACAAGCTTATTGTGCAGGCGAATAATCTTACTGTAGATATTGATAATGAAATTCTAATAGTGCATAAAGTGAGAATTTCATTATTTTCTATTCGAATTCTTGTACGCGCGTCCTGATGTTCCTTTACCAAATATCTGAAATACACTTAGTTTATCAGGGACCACTACGCAAAAAAGTTTCCCGAATTAGAATCATTAGTTCTCAATCCCTTGGACTACACGAGAGCTGTGAAAGCTATTGGAAATGAAACGGTATGCATTTTTTCATTATAAAAGTTACGCTAGCTGAGCTCAGATAAAATGTTCGAAATTATGCATGTTTTCTACTTTCCCTCTACAGAACCTGACCGTGAGGCTCGTCCATCGGCCCCTTTTATATTATACAGGATCTGACTAAAGTCGATTTGAGATCTATTCTTCCGTCGGCGACGATAATGGTGGTTACAGTCACTGGGTCCACCTCCCTTGGGCAAAAACTTTCTGAAGAGGAAGCTGCTATTGTGGATGATGCTTGTGAAATGGCGTTTGGATTAGATCTTGCGAAACGAAAGGTAATTCGTGAAAATTTGTGGCATCATCTTATTAAATCCTAATAATGATTGAAATTTTCTTTTGATGTAGATTTTGGAATATGTTGAATCTCGTATGACACTGATTGCTCCAAATCTTTCTGCTATCGTGGGCAGCACAACAGCCGCCAAAATATTGGGACAAGCAGGTGGTTTAATGGCACTTTGCAAAATGCCCGCCTGTAATGTTATGGTGAGTATTTTCTTGATGTTCACACTTCACTTTCCGTAAAATGTAATACACATTAATTAAGATCTTTTTATCTGAAATTTTCTCTAGCTTATTGGCATCCAGAAAAAAACTAGTACTGGGTTTTCAACTGCGACTTCGCCAAAACACACTGGATATCTCTTCCAATCTGAAGTTATTCAAAGGACACCACCAGATTTACGATTTAAAGCTCAAAAAATAGTTGCAGCAAAGTAAAAATAGTTTTTATTGTTTTACGTGACATTTTTATATATAATAGGTTATATTAATGTGATAATTTATTTTTATAGATGCACTTTAGCGGCAAGAATGGATCGAATGCATGATTCACCAGATGGTAATTTATTGTTATACTATTTATATTATTAATATTAAACACTTAACATTTATTTTTTATTGTAATAGGTTCATATGGACGAAAATTGCGAGAAGAAATTGATAAAAAGCTCGAAAAATTACAAGAACCACCGCCCACTAAAACCATCAAACCACTACCTGTTCCCGATGAAGGCCCTAAAAAACGAAGAGCTGGAAAAAAGTGAGCAAATATTAAGATTAAAATAAATTGTGTATAAATCTGGCATTTTACCGATTTCTCTCAATAAATAAATTAACAGAGTGCGACGAGCTAAAGATGCTTATGCGGTAACAGAACTTCGAAAAGCCCAAAATAGAATGGCATTCGGAGTCGCGGAGGATGAAACTGGTTCATTTGACAGGACAAAAGGATTAGGATTGATTGGAAAGAACTCGGGGAAAATCCGTGCAGCTGTGGTCGATCAAAGAGTCAAACGTAAGTACAAAAATTTTTTTCTTTAGAATACAAATTATTATCTTCATTAGTAACTAAAAAAATCTCAATTTTTAATATTTAGCTAAGGCTCCACGACGAGCTCAATTGATGGGCGGTTCTTCAGGTGCTACTTCGGGATTATCCTCGTCTTTGGCTTTCACACCCGTTCAAGGCATTGAATTAATTAACCCAGAAGAGTCCCAAAGAAAAGCTAAAGAATTAAATGATCGATACTTTACCGGTGGTGCTTTCTTAAGAGTGGGAAAGCCTAAGCAACCTTCTCCGCTTTCTCAAGGGCAACAGAAGCCAACACCTCTATGAATATGATGGTTTCTTTCATATCATATAGTAATCATAAATTGTAATAATTAGTAGTTTATATAGTATGTCTAAATTCACGTATTATATAGATATCAATTGTGAATTTAATATTGTATACAAATTAATAAACTGTCTGGATAGCTTATATTTATTTTCAAGAACAAAGTCTTTTACTTTCTTGAGAAAAGGAGTTTATACTTTTTACCAAGTTTCTTTGATTATTATGTCTTTCAAAAACAACTTTATCATTCTATTCTTTGATTATTAATTTTTTAATATATCCATCTATTTATAATTTTGACCAGAATACGTATGTGATCCTTATATGGAGGTTATTCACATTAGAAAAAGATTTTTTATATGTTTAAATATAAAAAAGAATCAGATTAGTTTATAGATTATTTGTATTATATAAAATCATAATTTTGCTTGGCACCAACAAATTTATTTTTAAATTAACTTAATTTTGACTAGTAATATAAAAGATTAACAAATTAATATAGCGGATGTTTTGAAAAGTTAAATTAATATTCTATAATTCACAACTAAAAATAAAGATATCAAAAAAATTAAAGGAACTATAGCCTCAAAGTAACCATTGGGGGCATTCCATCGTCTTCTCTCATTGAAGGATTAGTACGACTACGTGTAAATCCTCTAACAAGTCCCGCACTGCTAAGAGCTTTTTTGTCTTTTTGTTTGGCGCCGTGATGATGTTGAACATCATTACATATGGGACATTGTGGCGGGCTGCCTAAAGAACGTAAAAGCGTTGAGTGCACTACTTTTGCGCCAACGCTATATTGTTTGCCTTTTATTCTTGCGACGGTTTCAGAGAATGGAGGCGATTCATCCTCAAGTAGGCATTTTTCGTGGTATGCGTGACGACAAAAGAATATAATAGTGGTAATATTTGATGTTGCAATATCTAAAAAACGCGACGTTGCATTAGACTAAATCGTACTTTGCAGATATTGTTATGCAAATAACTATACATACCATCTATAATAATCGGGTCTTGACATACAGAGCAAACAAGCTCATCTAAATTGAACAAGAATTAAATCAATGATTGGAAGTAACAATATTTAAGCATGCCAATTTCCAATATACCTCCACACGATATGCCACGTTTCTGAGCCCGTTGAAGCTGATCCGCCATAGCTACACTATCACTAACTAGAATTCTTTCACAACCTTCTCGCAAGGAAGCCTATTAATACCGAGTAATGTTAACATTGTAATTATCATGCAAATAACAAATTTTCATACAGACTTGTAAATTGAAATCCTGAAGAATTTTTATTAAAGCATCCTTTAAACCAGGAATTTCGAGACTATCGGGAATTCGGCGTATTAAACGGATTGGATCGATGTCAGTTCCACCAAGATTTTCCAATAAGCCTTTGATAAATCCTATTATATACAGAACAAAGACAAGATTTTAGTTAGAAGTTTGATAATAATGTAACTTTATATATAAATAAATTATTAATACTTGCGTGGTTTGTCAAGTGAATAAGTCAACAAATCTTCCCATAACACATCATCTTCTTGTTCTTTGGCAAAATCAATTGCCTAACATAAAAAAGTAGGTTAATTAGCTAAATTATGTAATATGTATTTAAAAAATTTCTACTTACTCTTTGAACATCCTCGAGACGCTCGATGATCAACATAAGCGCCTTTTTATTATTTCCGGTGCGTCCAAGGATGAAAACCATTTCAGAGACCAAATCCCGTTCTTCACAAACTTTGTATGCCTAAGCATAATATAAGTTTAACAAGGTTAGTGATTTGTGAAAGTGGTATTATTTTAATTAGATATACCTTTTCTAGCGAGTAATAGTTACTCGTTCGTAAAAATTCCATCAAACGTGCAAAGTCATACTCAGCATATAGCTCAACCTATTTAAAAAATGGCTATTTTGTTTAGTTAATACAATAAACAAGCGCAATTGTAAGAAATCCCTTTAAAAACCTGTAGATCATGATATTCGTAGCCCATATGCGGGTCATGTAGAAATAACGCATCCAAATATATAAACATGAAATAAGGATGTTTTTGCAATTGTTTGACAACTCTAGAAATCTTTGAAATCAAAAGATATTTGATTATAAAATTCATTAATAATCATTTGAACAATAAAAAATTAATATACCGGCACTGATTCTGTATTTTGTACAAGCAATTGCACGGCAGGTCCTTCACTTGGTTTCTTGATAGGAGTCAATTTCGGTGAATTTTTTTCAGTTAGTTCGTATAAATCTTCATTTTCTTCAGATTTTTTAGCTTCGAGTGATAATAAGTGCTGATCGAACTCCATCAAGAGAACAATTTTATCTTCTATGGAAGAGAATAAATTGTATTCGCGAATTAGATCAAAAACGTTTGGACGTCGAAGTCGAAGACTATACTCTAACGCTTTGTCGGGTTCATGATTGAATGTGTACCTGAAATATTTTCACATGAGGATTAATTGGCTAAAAAGTCTTAAGCAGCAAGTTTATCACTCACAATTCAGCCAAGCATTCCATTAATATCGGATTATCGGGATCTTTATAAAGAGAGTCTTCAACTGCAAGTATTACACTTTTAATATTGTAAATTGTTGGTGGCCATCTCGTTATTGTATTATATAAAGACTATATTTTAAGAAGAAAAATATTAATTTCAAACGCGTCTTATGTATAAATGCAAAATGAATTTTCGAAATATATTACCTGATAATCGTTATTAAGGAAATAGGCTAAAACCATTTCATAGACCACACTACTCAGCTGAGGGTCTTTAAATGGAATATAAGGAGTAATTTCCTATATAATGATAAACCTATAATTAGATTCACAACTATAAGAAGGATAGAATATTAAATTTAGAAATTTGCCTACTTGTAATTGACGGAGTTCGGCAAACTTAAAGATCCAATCATCCCAAAGTTTAGCTTCATCCCATTTGCTGGAATTAGTCTTTAAGACGTTAGGACAAGCCATTGCTGCTCTCTCATATTTGCCTGCATGATTTTATAAAAAATTAGATTACGTTTCAGCTAGCAATGAAAATTAGTTTACCTTCGTCAATCAAATGCGATAGATATTTAAGACCAACGTCAGTCACATCATAAGTCTTGCTTCCACCCCAAGCTTGAGCTTCTCGCAAAGCACCTAGAGCTTCTTCATATCTCAATCTATCAAGTAACCATCCAATATGATCATCTAAATCACGTGGTTTCGCGACAACAAGATCCTTTGGACTCACGACATAAAAGAGATCTTCGTCAGATGGTAGAAAATCAAGCACGTAGTCGTTTGCTTGATATTGCTGAAAGCCGTGGAGTGATAAAGCATCTGTGGATATTTCTTCGTTTGATGAGTTGATTATTCGTAATTCAGGACGTTTTGCGCGCTGTATTACAAAATTTTTATTGAAGATTAAATCGTCAAAAAATAGAAAAAGGTATTGATTGCACGTACTGGTCTTCTTTGTTGTTCAGGGTTACTAGTTTCTTCGTTCTGTATTATGTCGTCAGTGATGTATGCCATTAATAACATCATATCCTTGAATGGGGCAATTCCGCATACTATAAAATCAGTCCTGAATCTAAAATAAAAGATTCATTGAAAAGATAAGTAAAAAAGGCAATGAAAAGAATACAAATAATATATATTTTATTACAAGGTTGTTATTTCGACATAAAGCGGAGGACCTTGAGTATTCTCCTCTCTTTTTCTTTCCTATAAAATAAATAAAAATTTGGCAATATATCACAAAAAAATCACCAAACAAAATTTGTTATATTATTCACCTTTACTACTCCCACTTGTACATTATCAGCCCATCCGATTAACAAATGAGTATCATCCCTCCAGCAAAGATGGCACCGATACAGATCAGGACGTGGACTATTATCAGGCCGAAAAATCCAAGTAATACGTTGTTTCGAGTTTGTATCATACATTTTAATGCCCTATCCAGATCACAAAAAACGAAATTCTTGAAGTAAATTGCAAAGAAACTAATTGGAACTTTTCAATTCCTGATTTACCATATCGTTAGCCCAAGCAATCAATGAACCTCGCCATTTTACGGCATATATAGGACCTTCACCTTGGTGTAAAATAGTGTCGACATTATTACCAAACCAGCCTAAATGTGAGTTAAAATGAGTCTCTTATTCAAACATTGAAAACCAAGTGCATCATATATTCAGTTATTAAAAATAATGTGTATCATAAATACCAACAGTACCTTTTTCGTGTAAAATAAGTTGTCCGGCTAATCCACCTGACACAAATTGGCCAGTTGCATTTCTACTAAAATTTGGATCAAGAGCCACACATTTTAAAGGTCGCTTGTAATTATAATGACGTACTTCTTCATTATAGAGACCATTAATTACAACTTTTCCTGTGTGAAGATATAAGATATATATTATGTTCATATATAATTATTATTAGAATACTTGTTATAGCGGATCGATTACCATCCATCGACGCGCTAGCAACGTATTCACCGGCCACGTCAATTGATAAATCATAAACGGTAGCAGTATGTGATGAGAATCTCTTGATTTCATTCCCTTCAAAATCAAATAATAACACGGCGCCATTGTGTGTACCTAATACCTATTTAAATAAAAGATCAGTGAAAAACTAAGTGAATATTATTGAAATAAAGAATTTGACCAAGTACCACAAAACGGTCAGACACAGCCATGGCACTTGCAGCATCCTGTTTTAGGATTTCTCCAACTCCAGCTCCTAGCCGCTGATATTTTAGCTTTGGTTCATCTTCCTCTTCAGAATCTTCGTCCTCATCTTCGTCCTCGTAGTCGTCTTCCTCTTCCTCGTCTTCCTCTTCCTCCTCCTCCTCTTCCTCCTCCTCTTGAGACTCTAAAGCTTCTATTCGTTCACTATTCTTAGTCTCAAATAATGTCTCGTCTTCAGTTTGTGACATTTCCTCAGTGCAAGAAGTAAAGCTTGATTGCTGAATACAAAAGTTAAGTCACGGGCGGCAGTAATCGAAGCTGCGGTCGCATATAATGGAGATAATCCACCAAAAAATGATTTTATGACTCATCACTTTAGGGTAAATGGAATCGTTTACATTTGAACTTTTCCCGTCACGAGGACTAATCCATATTTCTCTATTCCGAAACGTAACAAACGCAGCAGAACTTCGCAAGCGACTCCTCGCCAGAGACCAAGAACTATCATATGCTTTTATCGACGCGCGAGTCGTAAATAAAAAATAATTACTAAAATAACTTTTTGTTATTTCTGACATACATTAATATTATATAAAATACATTGATTTTCTTTCTATAGGTCTTTGACTTGTTTCAAGTACTAGTCGCGGTAAATAACGCATTGTATTATGAAAAACTTGAAAAACTTAAAACTTTTAATGTCCATTCGGAAATTGTGTACTTTCTTTCTCCTACAACTAATGTAATAAAATTCATTGATTAGTTGATTTAATGATTCTGTTATCATATAATAATGATATTTTTTTGGTTTTTAGATCACAGAGTCATTACGGCGATTTGGAATTTCGGATGTGACTAATGCTATTCTGGTTGTCAAAGTTGGTGGTGATGCTACTGATGTATGTGTTATATTATTTAAAGAAATCTCTCAATTACTAAATATATACAAATTCTAATAATGATTCTATTGATAGGTCAAATCTCATCTTTCTTCACTCATACAAGGTGAGATGGAATCGAATCTTGACACAATTTCACATTTCGCGGATTTAGGAACTATCAAAAAAGTATTTATTATTGAGATTCGATTTATTTTCGATATATATACATTTAAATGTTTTCTTTTTTTTCCATTTTGCTCTGCACAGTATTATAAAATTGATAATAAAATGACTGATAGACGCGAAATTCTGGAATGTTTGATTGGAACTATTGCGATTAAACCTGTTCTTTAATTTGATGATATGTATAATTATTTTATTATTGTAGGTTGATGGATTATTATATGGTGCAGCCAGTATTGTATATTTTGGATATCCAAGCACTTTTTCGACTGTCCAAATGTCCAAGTGTCCAAACTCTTGTACTATTAAAAAAATTAAATAAAAATATATGATTATATACAACGAAAATTCTAAATATTTTTAATTAGTGTCCAAACAGGTTATTTTAATAAAATTTTGAGTAAATTTGATTTTTTTTGTCAAAAATGTCCAAGCTTGTCCAAAGGCATGAAAGGCATGTCCAAACCGTCCCATGACAACACTGGGTGCAGCTCATTTATAACTTTTTTTTGGTAATCTCATGTGATTTGTAATATTGAAAACGCAACCAGATTTCTTAAATTTAATTATAAGTATTAAATATTTTTTATGATTCAAAAATATAATTAATATTTTTTCTTGTTTAAAAGCAATTTAACTGATATTTCTAAAGAAAATAAAATAAAGCAAGATAATGGCAACTTATTTTTTTTATTAAAAAGACTTGTTTTTTAGATTTATTTATATATATTATTTTATTTTATATTTTCTTGTATAATATTTAATATAAAATAAGAAATATAAATAAATAAAAATAAGAAAAATAAGTAAAATACAATAACTAACTAAATTGTGGAATTATATATATAATTTTGTTAATAAAATATAATAAAAATTAAAATTTTTGTTTTATATAGTAATTAACAAAATTATAAATTCTTATATAAAATAACTAGAATAAATATTATATTGATATACAAATTTAAAAATAATTAAATTAGATTTTTTGTTTATCTTATCACATTAATAATGTAAGTTTCATTAATATTACAAACAAAAATAATTGATAATAAATTTTATTAGATCATACAAAATAAATTTTCTGGTTTTTACATCTGGCTGAATTACCAAATCAAAACTGACAATCAATATTTATATGATGCAAATGGCTTAATCACATTAAATGGCTAAGTCATTACTAAAATTTGTACTGATTTCTATATATATAAAATAATATGATTCTATTAGTTAAAATATAAAGAGCCAATCATTATTTTGACATTTTTATTAGGTATAATTTTTAGCATGTTTTTTTTTGCTTTGTTAGATTGGTTGGAACAAATCACAATTTAGTTAGTTAATATTATCTAGATTTAACAGTATCTCAATATCAAAATAAAATAAACATATTAAACTGGCTTGAAAAGCTATTAAAAAATGTTGGAGACAACAGAAAGTTTTGAGTTATTAAATACTGAACTAAAAATAGTTGCTGAAATTATTTTTAAAAAACTAAAATATTTAGCTTTAAAACTGAATTGCTGAATTAAAACTGAATTGCTAAATTAAAATTGAATTAACCAAATTGACAAATTAAAACTAAATTGCTAAATTAAAATCGAATTGACTGAATTGATAAATTAAAACTGAATTGCCAAATTAAAATTGAATTATTGAATTAAAACTGAATTGACTGAATTAATGAATTAAAACTGAATTGTCAAATTAAAACTAAATTAACTGAATTGATAAATTAAAATTAAATTGCTGAATTAAAACCAAATTAACAAATTAAAACTAAATTAATCAAATTGATAAATTAAAATTAAATTGATAAATTAAAATCAAATTGACTGAATTGTCAAATTAAAACTAAATTAACAAATTAAAACTGAATTGCTAAATTAGTAAATTAAAACTGAATTAACTGAATTAATGAATTAAAATCAAATTGCCAAATTAAAACCAAATTAATCAAATTGACAAATTAAAACCAAATTAACAAATTAAATCAAATTGTTAAATTAAAATCAAATTGACCAAATTGATGAATTAAAACTAAATTGCTAAATTAAAATTAAATTAAAACTAAATTAAAATCAAACTGTTAAATTATTAAATTAAAATCAAATTATTAAATTAAAATCAAATTATTAAATTAAAATTAATATTTTAAATATTAATGTTAATAACTAGTTTATATCAAAATAAATTTATATAACAATTATATAATGATTAAGTAATGATCACAGTTGATATCTTATTGATTTTTATATTGTTATGATATGATATTTGACAAATAATTTTATTAAATAAGAAATATATTAATTATTATTGGATTATATTTATTAGTATTTCTATTGGATAGTTATTTTTAGATAATTATTTTTAGATAGTTATTTTTAGATAATTATTATCTTATTGAATAATTATATATTAGATATTATTAGTTCTTAGATTTGTGTTAATATCAGCAATACCAGCAATAACAATAATGATATCAATACTTGTATTAATGACAACAATGACATTAACACTCATATTAATGTTAGAAATGATGATAACACTCATATTTAATTAAATTAACGATAATAATAATAGAACTAGTTATATCGTATAATATGTAATTTATATAAATATATCATGTATCTTAGCTTAAAAATAAAAGGTTAAAAGTTAAATTAATAACTCAAGAAGTCTCTTATTTGATAGAAACTTCAGATAACTTGTAAAGTTATATTTGTATTGGTTTTTGATCTTGAAAGATAGATTACTTATAATAAATTATTATTATTAACTTGAAAGACAATTGCTTGATAAAATTATTATTTGAATCATAACTTTAAAGTTCTAAAATAAAATATACAAAAACTTAGTGAAGTTATTGAATATTATTATAGCTTATCACAATAAGAATACATATTACCTATCTTTAGTAATAAATTCTAGTCTTTCTCACTACAAAAACTTAATTATTTTGTTCTTATATTAATAAAACACGTGATTAATATATCAAAAACTTAATATCTATAAAAATGATAACAGATTTTGGTGTTCTCTCTATGGAAAAGATAACTTTACACTATCAAAACTATATTTGAACAGAGAATCCTCTGTGAGTAAAAGTATTGTACCAAAAAAAATCAAACTTGAATTAAGAATCCTCTATGAAAGAACAAAACAAATTATTGACAAACAAATCTTTTTCAATCTGAATCTCACAAAATCAACTGATATTAAGTTAGAAGATTATTTCAAGAAATAATTACTGGAGTGGTATAGTTGTAATCTATATAAATTACAACTATATCACTTAATTCAGACTATAACCATCCCCATTGACAATTGGATCACGTGTGTGTTATCATTCGAATGATGATTGGTTCATGAGTTCATCGTCATACTCGTGATGACAGAAATGCAACACTGTTATCAGTGTTATGACAACAAAAACACAACACCGTCGTCAGTATCATAATATAATTTTTATGACACATTTTTGACAACAAAAATATGACATTGTCGTCAGTGTCGTGATATATATTTTATAATCCAAATTCGATAACATTACTTGTATGCCAATTTGATATCTGTGATCGATTCCTGTCACTAGGACACAGACAAAAAAAAAGTAAAAGTACACCTTGTGATTTATACATTATTAGTAGCAACTAAGGTTGCTTGCTGAAATCTCTTAGTGACTGTCTAAATTCTGTCAAAATTATAATAAACTATTAGTAAATAACTCGTCAAAATTCTGACGAATTTTGAAACCCGTCATAATCAAAATTATGTTGAAATTCTAATTAACAATTAGTGTGTAACCCATCAAAATTATGACGATATTTTTCTGAAAGAATTTAGACAAGCATTCTTAAATATGATGTGTATATTTTCTTGCCTTGATTAAATTGGATTCCTTTTTGAAATATATTGTGTCATAATTGATGTATTTTTTTGGTATTTTTTTAGCGACAATTGAAATTGTTGTTTTTAGAATGTTCCAAAGGGTATCTATGTTGTATTCTGAGATGCGTTTCATATTAAGTTTTTGGTGAAGAATATGATCTGTTTTGCTTTTAAATTCTGATCAGGTCTTTTCATTCATTTTTTTAAGATTAAATAGCTGTCTTCTTCTTTTAATATAACGTTTGATGTGTGAATGATTTTGAATGGAAGAGATATTGATTGAAATGGCTATTGGCAGGTGATCTGAAAATGCATCTATTGATATAGGATTAATTGCATACGTTGTGGTAGTTGCATCTGTGAATATATAATCAAGTATGCATTGAGAGTTGTGTGAGAACCATGTTGGTTGTCGATTTTTGGTATCTGGGTATATGTCTATAAGACCATGAGAGATTATGTTGTGTATAATTAGATATTTATTTGTATTGCTTTAATATGTTATATAATCTTCATTGAAGTTACCCATTATAATAATTTGTTTATTTTTGATAATAATATTTGTAATATAATTGTTGATTGTCTTTGTAATAATAGAGGATTCTGTAGTTTTGGAAGCAGGAGCATATATACCTATAAGATTGATTGTGATTTTTTCTTTGAATTTGAGTGTGATGTATATGATTTGACCTTTGATTTTGTTTATTTCTTGGATGTGGCTGCACCATTGAAACTTAATGATGATTACAACTCCTTGTCCATGTGCATGATTATTGGAGGAGCTGTAGAATGCGTTGAGTTCTTTGTTTTTCAAGTTGAATTTGGAATTGTTATATTTGTTAGGTTTTGTTTCTGTGAGTACTGTGAAGTCTAAGTCATTTACATAGATCCAGTTGTTAAGTTGTTGAATTTTGCTTGGTTCATTAACTCCTCTAACGTTTAGTATTTAGTACGCTAATGAGTTTTGTTGGTTGGATTGTTGTTTGATATTATATTTTGGTTGTTTTTATCTGATATGTATGCATTAGCTTGCTGGAGATGCAAACTATTTTTATTACCAGTTGATTGTGTTATCATTATTGTTGGATGGTGTAGATTTTGTTTTCATTGTTTGAGATATTAATGACTGAATGGCTTTGACGAGATTATTAATTGATTCTTTAAGATAAGTAAATTGCTCTAATGTTGAGTTGATGCGATTATTGAGAATGTTGAATTTCTGTGTGTGTCCATTATTATTATCAGTTTGTTGATGTTGTTGTTATTGTTGTTGCTGATGTTGA